CGGGTCAATACTTTTTCTTGAGGGAAGCGGTGATGCGCAGGCGGAAAGCACGCACACAATTTTTGGGTTGACTTCACAATGCCGAAATGCTAGAGATCTGGGATGCAGCATTGGCCTCGTTCAGCACCATTGAGCCTGCCCAGAAATCGATGCTATTTCACTTTGGTGGTGCTGGTGGAGAGAGGGTTTCATTTTCAGCCATGTCGACGGTTTTTCCCGTTGCTCCATTGCTGGCGTTACGTGTCTCGTCTCCGCTCTCGCTTGCAACCGCAATAATACACCAGTTCAACTCCGGGCTTTGCTTTTAAGAGAAGCTCTACAAAAATGAAATGTCGACTTCTCAATGATGTCCAATCGAAGGAAAAAAAGGCTTACAAGAAACTTCGTCTCAATTTCGTAATGGGCTCCACTTCTCAATCGTCGTCAAAGATGAAGAGATATTCTGCTGTCGGACCACTCTTGAATAAAGCAAGCAACGGATCAGTGCTAATGAAGAATCAACTTGAGCCATCAGTGGATGGTTTTGCAAGAAATATGGGAGCACCAATCACTGAAGCCAAAGATACTTTGAGCCTCTGCTGCGAGATATAAATTTGGACTCTAAGGATTATCGCAATCCCCTCCTTCAGACTCAGATTATCTCCCAGGATAGGAGCACCATCGGTAGATAGGAAGTGCTGAGCATAAAGGCAAGACTGACTGCCCACCCACAACACGGAGATTGTCGAAAATTGTTGACAATGCAAGCGAAAATTTTCACATAAGAGAAGGGGAGGGCCCTTCAACTCAAGCGATAGGAGCTGATCTTCATTGGATCTGCCGAAGGCAAGCCACTCTAATGAACACACTTAGAACGTCGATCTACAAAACAGTTTCTTGAAAGCGTTAACCTACCCGACAATACCTACTTACACAGCGAGGAAAATGAGTTGCTAGAAAGCCCTTGTTTAAGCAGCAACGCAGAAAGCGTTTATTCCAATGTGTAATAAAGTTGTTTTTTCTTGCCAATTTCTGTTCTATCGTGTTACCGTGATTTTAGCCTACCTTGTATATCCATTACAGATAGTAAATATACGTGATATTTGTCGTTCGCTTTCATCGTTCTGTGTACGCTGTTAAAAAGTGACAAATTAGGTGGAGTATTACCAAGCTAATAGTAATGGTAATGGTTCCCTCTATAGGCGGGCTTGACCGAAACTTTGTGCAGTAGCTCACTGTTTGATCCAATGTTCATCTGCAGAAATTTGGCTCACACTCGTTCTGTCTGACCATGGATTTGATGCAGGGACCATGTCAGTGACCTTCGGTACGACTTTCCTTGGTAACTCATCCAGGGTGACTCGCCTTAAGATGTGACTATTTGTTTCAAGAGTAAGAATCATAAAGATCCCATTCGTTGTAGTGCCTTCGACTACGGAAGTGGTACACATGTGTACCAGCAGTAGTCAAAGGATTAAATGGCACTGATAAAATTGCTATTTCTGTGAATCAACTATTGAATGCTCTTTGTGTGACCGGAATGCGGGTAATCAAAAAGTTAACCAACTAGTGAAAACTGACGGTAAATGAGGTCTTCAGACTGCCGGCGATACCCTTCGGGCCTCACGGATGCGGGTTGTGTGCGATGCAGGGATTTTGTCATATAACCGTATACCAAACTCGGCTCGCTCTGATTTAGGCAATTCTTACTTCGAACGCTATTATTGCCGTATGGATCTCGGCTATCGCCAATTTTATGGGTATACAGGTGACAATGCAATTCTCTCCAATATATCTCAACAAGGTAATCGATAGCAATCAATATGTCGATTACCTGAGCAACACAATTCCAATATTTCAGGTCATGGCTTTCAGTGGCATCCCGGATTTGTTCGCGCAGTAGCCACAAGGTAGAGTAAGAGTACATATTACAGTTCTCAGAATATCATTGACATTGTTAAGGTTTTGTTTTGGGTTGTTATAAAAAAATTATGTATTATGAAACTTAAGGAGATGTGCTACTGCACAGTTGGCCAGGTCGACTAGGCGTGAACATTAAGATGGCTATGACATAATGGGCTACGTCTAGAGGGCAACTTCTTTCATGCAGATGGCTCATAAAATGAAGTAGAATGGAAACCAGTATTGCGGAGGTGAATTTGCTCTCTCGGGGACGAACGTGTGTTGGTAGAATACGGCGCATCGACACTCCTGTAGTCTCACCCCTGCCCCCCTTGTCGCACTCTGTCGGGCTTACCCAATCTTTCTGGGGGCTTTCATAGCTCTTCGAGCTCGAATTGGCTGCCCATGTGATCGTTTGCTCGTCAATACATTCTAACAGAGAGGCAGAGCAACGTGTATGTGGGTGACAAAAGCATTGATGAGGCACGTCCTGCGCGCAGTTCAGCAAGCGACAAGGGGTTCTTACTGGGGTTTTGGTTGTTTGTGTTTTCTTCACCACTACACCACTACCTCCTCAACTTTCACTTCCAGCGTTCAAACCAATTTGATGTGAATTCTACCTTGGAACACGCACTAAAATCGGTTACCTATCCACTTCATGGCTTCGTAACGTTGCCACTCCCGTCCGATGATGAAGAGGTAGAACAGAAATCAAGGCGTGGCGCAACAGAGTCATCACCCCAATAATCTACTGTTCAGATAGTAACGTTTGGAGTGAAAATATTCGCCGGTGTTTTGGCCGATAAAGCCTCATGTTGCCAGCCGGTCACTTCAGTGAAAATATTCAATCTCATATCGGTTGGAGGAATGGGAATCGCCTTCTTCGTACTCGCTGTTATACCAACGTAAGCTCCTGAAACTCACTAGAAAAAAGAAACCGAAAACTTCTTTTACAGCCAAATCCATCTTTTTTTGAAATTGTAAATCATTAAATACATAACTATTCCAGGTCCATGCCAATCTTTGCCTTGGTAGTGCTTATTATTTGTACTTCTATAATCGGCTTCAACTGTGGCGCATTCTTCCGTAGTTCGGCTATTGTCGCCGCGTGAGTAGTTATTTACGCGTTTATTGGCACTTATGTGTACTAGAAACAATGATAAAGGATAAAGGATAAAGCATTTGCCGTTGATCAATCCCTTTTTGGGATGCGGCACGCATTCTACTTCCATTTGTACATTCGTAGTGGCGTTTGAATGCGATGTGGCCTATACAATGACTTGCGGGGGCCAGCCGATGTACAAGTCAGTGTTTTTATCCTCCCAGACAAGTCTGGTACCAATTAACCGACCCCGGAGGGATGGAAGGCTTGGTTGGCCCGGGCGACGACCCAGGATTTGATCCCCGGACCGCTCGCGTGGTAAGCGTGCCACTTGCCACTACACCACTTCCGCCCGGAGACAAAAAAGTGATCCAAAAAGCTAGAGTTGCCTTGTTCTCTAGGATGCTCTGCGATTGCTTATGTCAGTTGCATTTTGTTTCAGATTGTCATCAATGCATTGCCCATATCAGCATACTTATACTGATCTTATTATAATCATTAATTAAATTCGACAGGAAAAGGTTCTATAAATCAAGCGAAATCGTTTTAAAGGCAGCACAATCATTTTGTGATGGGAGTGAACTCGTTCCTCAACTGCATGGCTGCTTTGCTGGCACC